AAGTGAATATCAATAAAAAGTTCATTTTTGTTTGACCAATACTGGAGATACACATCATACTGTTTTTTTACTTGCTTTGTTGTTGTCTCATCAAACTTAAAAGTGAATGATGTTTTTTTAATACCAGATTTTAACATACTTTTAACATAAGGGGCAATTCCAAACTGCATTTGATATTAAATTTTTGATTCAACTTGCTTATAATGCTTTGCCACAACAGAATCAGGAAACATAGAGCTAAACCCTGCATTGCCATTTTCAGTTGCCTTGAAACTGTAATTACAATTGACAACATGTAAAGCTTGCATAATTTCTGCGTGAGAGATCTATTAAATTGTTTTTGGTTGTTTGACATTTTACAAGGATCTTTACTTACATGATTTTTAACCCTATCATGCTTCACAAGTTGACTAATGCCACTGGCAGATACTGAAAGATTTCTTGCAATAAATGCAATGTGCTAAACTTAAATTGTTGTTAACACCTTTGTCACCTTTTAAACCAAATACATAATGAATAATAAATAAAACACAAATAATATTAAAACACGTTTTATTAATAGACATTTTCTATGTAAAAAATACACATTAGTTACTTTTAAAAATATATGACCAGAACTTCAAAAACCTAATTTAAAAATTGATTATTTTTATTTTTGCATGCTTAACTAATAAAAATCCATACTTTTACATGCTTTGCATGCCTGTGTAAGCAATTGCATGCTTTGCATGCCGAGTGGGAACCCTGTAATTGCCACTTTGCAACTACAATTGATTTTCTATTAAAAAAATTAGGAAATCTCTCCCGAGAAATCTCTTTAAAATTGATTGTAAATATTAAAAAAAAAATATTTTTAGAGATGTTTATGAAAAAATGGAGTACTATTCTACCGTATTAGCCCCCCACAAATGCTATTTCAAGTTACCCTATACTTGCTTATAGAAAACTATCACTTTATTTTTATACATACATACATACATACATACATACATACATACATACATACATACATACATACATACATACATACATACATACATACATACATACATACAATAGGGTGATGAATTCTAAACTTTTTTTCTTCAAAAATCATTTCCTGTAGCACAAATGGATGAACTTTTGCCAACTAATGACTTGATTGATCTTTATTCCTATGAAATATTGAAAAAAACCAACCCCCCTAAAAAACTTAATAGTACTGCCTTGTGCGGAGAAGCTCCCGTAGAGTTGTAAACTTTTTTTTAGCTATTTTGCAGTGTGATATAAACTGATGTATAATTTCAAAGAGGATAATTAAGTTTAAATTAGCTTAATTTTGTGTAAACACTATTACTGCTTAGTTAAAAGAGATCTTGTATTGCTTGGTGAAATACATTGATATATGTGCTTTATATACAAACTACAAGCTACATTGATATATGTGCTTTATATACAAACATATAACTGTGCATATAGTATTTTATTAGTGACATTTTTTTTATTTTCTATAATTTTGACTTGCTTGTTTTTAAATAAAATATATAAAAATTCAGTAAAAGTTTCTTTAATTTTTTAGGTGTTTTATATTTACGTTTAGCCCTTTTTTATTTCAGTTGCTGAGTAGAATATAACATGTCGCTTAAACCCTGAGAAGCTCTTTTAACACCAAGAAGAATAAGGAAACTTGGACAAAAAACTTAAAAATAGGCAATTTACAAAGCATCCTTGAGTGAAAGGAGTCGCATGCCCCAGAAAAACCAAGTCATTGGATGGTTCAAATTTCTTGAATCCATCACCAAAAGACGGAGAGAGAATCAGTGTCACTGTTGTTAATCTTAAAGCCGATAGGAGCAAAACATTAAACTTTCCATGTATTTGATCAACTCATTTGTGCAAAACTAGCAAAAATTTTAATAGACTATAAGTTCTGCAGAAAGATCCAAAACTTTATAACATTAAATGAACTGTTTGAGATCACTAAAATTAAAGACAAATGGTTGTGCTAAGAGTATGAGAACCTGTATAAATTGCAAACAAAGATCAAAGGCCAAGTTGGTTATTTCACTGGCAAACCTGTTAGAGCCAAGATCAACTACCCATCCAAGCCAAAGAAGATAATCAAAGCAAAATTGTCCACAGTTACCAGCTCAGTGCCACCTGATTGGTCTGAAATTAGAATAGATTCTTTGAAAACAGCAAAGACACTTCTTCAACTCTCTGAATTTGAAAAAATGAGGTCAGTAATTTATTGTCGACCACAAACTTATAGAGGTCGGCATGAGATTGGCAAACAAAAATTTAACACAAAAAGGTTACCGTAAAACAAAGAAACATGGTCAGCGATTTTTTGCCGACCTCAAACAATTAAGTTGATAGTTAAGTTGGCATTGCTTATTCCGAGGGCTGCTTCTTGGGATGAGTTTGCAGCATCAATAAGCAAAAGGAAGAATACCCCAATACGCATTGAAAAACGCCTTGCTACAATCTCAATTCTGTCTTCCCACGGAGCAGCAGGTGTGCTGCCAGTGAGGGCATTGAAGTCCCAACCCCATCCCAGTCAGCAAAATACAAAGCTACATACATAAGAACTGTTCAGGTGAAGAAACATTTAGGGAAATGGAGCAGACACTATGACGGTAAACAA